CCTGGCGGAAGTCTTCGAAGCCGAGGGTTTCGAGACGCCGTGGCCTTGGGTTTAGGGTTAGGGTTCGTGAGTACCGAGCTTTTGGACATTCGAGGTCGAGGCTTGTGGGGTTCGTAGCGACAGGCCGTGATCAAAGTGTTTGGGTATGTGCACAGCGTTCGCAGCCTCAGTCATGGCACGTGTCGTATCTACACACGGCTGCACTTTGTCGTCTTATGTGGACAAAGTCCTGATGCAGACGGCCACAACCGGAACAGACTGGAGACCAATATTCAGGACTGCAGGCTCTTGTTGTGCAGCTTACAACAACTAACGGGCCGTTTATGACGCACGACGCGACGAAGTGTAAATGCAGCTGGGATGGCTGACAGCTCGATGTTCATGACTGGGGATGCCGCGATGCAGCTTCGCATGTTACGTCAACACAAAGGGTGTCCGCTTACTTGAGGCACTTGTCGAAACTGATGGACAACGTGTCGATGCAGACGGGCACAGCTGTCGGCACGATGTTCATGGTTGGGGATTCTGCGATGCGGCTTCGCATGTTGTGTCGACACCCCGGGTCATGGTACAAAGTGTGCCCGCTTACTTGAGGCACTTGTCAAAACTAGTGGACAACGTGTCGATGCAGACGGGCACAGCTGACGGCACGACGTTCATGGTTCGGGATTCTGCGATGCAGCTTCGCATGTTGTGTCGACACCCCGGGTCATGGTACAAAGTGTGCCCGCTTACTTGAGGCACTTGTCAAAATTATTGGACTACGTGTCGATGCAGACGGGCACAGCCGACAGCATGATGCTCATGTCCGGGGATTCTGCGATGCAGCTTCGCATCTTCTCTTTTACAGTCACTCGCTTTGTCACATACACTGCACTGCAGTTGCACGAGGTGCGACTGGTTCTGTTCCTCATGAGACAGACACTAGCAGGTGTCATGCTCTTTCTTCATTGACTCTGGAAGCCGATGTGGCAACAATTTCTCAGATACTAAACCCTAAACCCTAAACCCCAGATTTCAGCACTGCTCTGTCAGTTCGTGCGAAGCATGCATTCTCCGTGAACGACCACGAGGGCTTGGGAGCTGCCAGTAGTATCCTTTTGCACTTGATCCATTTAGGTTTCCTGTTTACAACCGAATACATAGTAGGAGAAATACCTTTAGCATTACTAAGGTTCAGTTCTCACCATTTCAGCGACATCTGCCAACTCCAATTTCAAGCACGTTGTTCTGCTGTTTCTGCCGCTGGCATATAGTTGGAGTTGCAGCTGAAGTTGTGCACCACGCACAGCTGTCCAAGTGCTCGAGTCGAGACTTCTGAGTAGTTCTGCAGCGTCTCAGACCTGGCTTGTTCAAGAAACCTGTAGATGTTTGATCTCCCAGCCCTAGCCGAGCCCAGAGACGTGTTCATCTTGAAGCGCTGCAAAGTCAACTGACCTACATGTTCATGGCGCTGGCTGTGGATGCTCCATGGCCTCCGAATCATGCGAGCCCTGCTACTCTGTGGGCAGCCGGGTAGAAGTGGCAGCTCGACTCAACTCTGCCCAGTATCGGATTCCAATACCCCTCCAAGTTACTCCCACCACAAAAGAGGTAGTGGCTGCCGGGCAATAGCCTCTACTAATTAATGAAGCAGCATTCTTCGCATGAGACGTAAGAGCACCGGCGACGCCGGCAGCAGCAGTTGTCCTCGTCGTCGGTTTCACCGTAGTGATGGTGCTGCTCTTCGTCGTGTATTACTGCTACGACGAGTTCTGTTAGTTATTAGTACTACTACTATCTTTATTGTCATTATTACGGTCATCATTACGATGTTCGACGAAGAGGAGGACGACCACACCACTACTACTACTGCTACTACTACTACTACTACTACTCCTGCTGCTACTACTACTACTACTACTACTACTGCCACGGCGACTATCTTTATCCGTCGTAAAAGCAGCAGTGTCAGCGGCGCCAAGGACTGGCCGCTGTTGACAGGCGCGGGGTTTAGGGCTAAAGAGCAGGATGAAGCATATCTTCGGTATTTCGTCGTGATGCTCTGATGCATGGGAGTGTCAACATTCTGGAAGGTTGTTGTTACGTAAATCCTCCTCAATAGGGCAAACAGCTACACTAGCAATACATAGTGATATCAGTTGAAGAAAGCGGACAACAAGTCATCGGCTGGTATAACATTATTGATCGCAAGTTGTTATCAAGCATGTCGCAGAGTTGACAGAGCACGTCAATACAGGAGTGGTGCGATGGCAAAGTTGCTTGTCGAGTTCAGATTACATTCGAAAGAGAGAAAGATCTACTAAGTAGTTCTCTCTCTCTCTCTATATATATATATATAAAAATAAACATATATATATATATATTTTTTTTATTTATACACACATACATAGAGAGCATGTGAATATACATATATATATATATATATATATAGAAAGACATGTGTTGATATGCAGGTTAGTTGGAGTACAGCCATTATGCAAACAGTAAGAGGCTAAGAGCCATTGATTTGTACCACAACTGAACAGCATAGTAGTGCATCATAACTGGCAGTGGCAGAACTGTTCCTGCGCAACTAGCAAGAACATCTTGGGACGCGGTCGTGTGTGCCCGCAGTTGGCCGCCACCGTCCGATTTGTGTTCATCTCTATCTATGCCATGCACCTACGAAGTTTTGGGAGTTCGTTAATACTTTTCATTGGTTTGGACTTTCAACTTGGGGTTTGGCCCAGCGTTTCCTGCTACTTGGGGCGAGGATTTTTGAGTGTTCTTGGGTTCTCACAGGTGCCGGCATTTCGAACCCCGTTGTTAAACCATGCCCGCAAGACCAGAGAGAACTGTGAAAGACTTCTATTGACTTTGAGTTTCTTTTGCAGGCGAGGGTATCTTGTGCAGTGTATGTACACGTAGCTAGATGCCGTTGCAAGCCAGGGCACCATGCCCTGGTACTGGGTTAGCCACCTTGGCCTTGTGCTGTGTGCTAACTACCCGTACCGTTGGGCCTGCGCCTCTGTCTCTTGGGAGGCCCGTAAGTAGCTTACTGAGGTTTTGGTTGAGCGCAGGTCCCTTCGGAGTCCACAGATGCGGCTCCTTGTTCACGAACCGTCTTGACGCATCCGAGTGGTTGTCAGTCAGTCAGTCAGACAGTCATGCGCGACGAGTATTGCTCGCGAAGAGCATTGCTGTCCGTCTTTGTCATTCTTACTCCATTCCTGCTACGACTACAGAAAGCTTGTGGGGAAGCATGATAGGATTATGCTTGCAGGCTCTATGGAAACTCAACCTGCCTGCTGCAAGATTGGTACTGAAGCAGGCGGCTTTGCACCATTCCACGCGACCGTCGTGGCGATCGCATCCAGAAAGAGGAGAAGTGGAATAACATGGGAAGCCGTGGGACAGGATAGCAGCTTTCGGACTTTACACGATGCGGGGTTTCGGATGTGCATTTTCTACGTCGCTTAAATGTGCAACCGTCCTGCCGGTTCGAGCATGAAGAGTGGGCCCATCCAAATAACAAGTCTCTGTCCTGTTACTTGAACAGTTTGGATGGGGTTGAAGAAGAGTAGAACTGAGACTTTGCCAGCTTTGCCGGCGGTAGCCTTCGAAGATACTCCTGAATCTGTGCATGCCTGTAGTGTTCCGTTTCCGTTGTTGCGATCCCCCTGACGGGAGCCCCTTTGAAGATTCGGCAAGCGCGACGGGTCGCCTGGCGACTCTTGATATTTCTGATCTCAACAAGATAGCATACCTATAGTCTCCATTGTAGTTCTTTTTTGGTTTACATGACCAATGTCTTATTCAGGATCCTATAAAGCAACTCCAACAAGGAACTGCAGTGGAGACTATACTATATAGTTATAAGGAAGGATAATAGTAATTCCTAGTATTAAGAAACCCTACTTTTTACTATAAGTACTCTGGACCCTCCGGGTTCATGCTGCTGTGAAGGCGCCCGGCATCAGAGAAGTAGGCCGCCGGCCCCACCGTAGTTCCTTTGTGGGATTACCTTATAGGATCCTAAATATGAAGCCCAAAAAGGAACTACTATGGGGCCTATGGGTACTGTCCCAAAACCACCTGCCGGGTATCCCGCGCAAAGTAGCAAGGGTTTATAGGGATTAGGGCAGTGGAGTGACGTCAAGCAGAGTTCAATCTAGGCTCAGGAGGACGCGAGCCCTGTGACTGTAAAGCTGAAAACATGAGTTGAAGCATTAATGGAGGAACCTGATTAAGAGACCCTGGGTCTATACCCCCAAAATCGTGGGATTTATATAAGGAATCCTGATAAAGGCCCAAGGTTTCTTAATTCAATCAGGTTCCTACATTACCCATCGGGACAGAACTGGGAAGCCTACAACAGCTCGCAGAAAAGCCGGCGCCGACAGCTTTTCTACGTCAGGTGCCTCTGGGGTTTCGAACGTCGGACGTACGACTCGAGTTAAGGAGTCAAGCCCAGAACTCTCTGTGCAGGGGCTGAGGAAGTAGGCTTGCTACCGCAATTTCTTGTGGCAGGTAAGGGGCTCTCTGGTGTCTCCGGGTCTCGGCAAGTTAGGCAGTCGTCGATGTCCTCTTTTGTTGTTGATGGAGTTCGTTTGGACGTTCGATTTCAGTTTCCATGCTCACAGTGCGAAAGGATGTCAAAGAGGCATTGCAAAGAAGCAAGATGTGAAGTACCGTGTTCTACGATTCGCCTCCCAGAAGTGTATCCACTATATCATATATGAACCTTACTTCACGTGCAGTGCGTTGAGTTTCTTAGACCTTGAGGCTTTCCGTTTTGGGGCCCTTGTCTTTAGAGCTTCTGGTTAGGGATTCGGGCCGTGCAAGATCTGAAAGTGTCATTCGAAGGGTACAAGTACCAAAATATGATCATAGATTCACCAGAGCACCGCCCACAGTTACTATGATCCTGGACCCTAGTGCCTCACAAACGGGCACTTGGGCCGAACCTTATCCCGCCCAAGCCCTTGAACCCCGCAAATCCCTACCCCCGAAACCCTATGCCCAAAGCACCAAAACTTGTGGAGCGTAGGCCCCCAGGCCCAAAACCGTTAGACCAAGGTCATTTCAAGTACCTGCTGCGCTGGCAGGATGGCTTGGCTCTCAGGTTGTTGAGCTTGTCCCCTGTTTCAGGGACCCTCCTTGTGACTAGAGGTATAGAGGTATATGGTCCCTAGTAGTTTGCACCCTGAAGTAGAGGTAATTATATATAGTAGTTTGAATCCGCAGGTACGTGGTCTCTAGTAGTTTGCACCCTCAACTATAGGCGCATGTTCCCGAATAGCTTGTACCCTCAACTAGAGGTATGTGGCCCCTATTCGTGTGTACGCTCAACTAGCCGTATATGGCCGCTAACAGTTTGTACCCTGAACTGACGGTCCTGGTTTGAGGGTTTAGGTTACAGGAAAGTACGCTGTCCCCGTGTTGTCCGTGGTGCTTTTGCGATGAGTTAGTTGTGGATCGCCGCAGCAAGTTTCCAATTTTGACTGACTCAAGACGTGTTCTATTCGAAAAAACTCTTAACGCATGCACGCCGTTAAACCCATCATTGTCCAAGGTCTGTAACTATTTTCAAGCTTGAGAAGGTTGATGTTGGATGCACTGCCCTGAATTCGAAGCCCCTGTCGGTACGATGTGCAGGTGCATCTGACTGCTGGCAGACATTGCGCAAGCTGTCCCATCGGCCCGTGGCGCAGAAAGGTTCCGCGTTCACTGCGAAGCTATTCCGCTCTCGGTGCCTCACAGCAGCGCAATCCACCCTAATGTAGGAACCTGATCAAGAAACCCTGGGCTTATAACCCCAAAATAGCAGGATTCACAAAAAAATACAAGGAACCCTACTAAAGGCCCAAGGTTTCTTAATCAGGTTCTTACATTACAGACTCGACTCAAGCCCCGCTCTCGAACTAATGCCGCAGCGTGAAGGTGCCACGATGCCCTGGAAAGACAAGTGCGAGGCACATCCCGCCTAACGATGCCAAGATCCTGCATGTTTAGCTCAGTTGCAAGCTGTGAAACTGTGGTGTGTAGATGCCTACCTGCCTACCTACCTGCCCACCCACATACCTTCCTACATACGCATATGCATGCATGCATGCATGCATGCATACACATCTATACAACTATGTATGTGTGTGTATATATATATATATATGCATTTATTTTACATGTAGTAAGGTCACCAGCTGGGTCAGTTTGGTGATTTGATGTCATTGCTCCGTGGGCTACTGGCTAATGGGGTCTGAGCAGAAATTCAGTTTTCTGTAACGACCGAGTGCCCGGAGTTTCCGAGGCCGGGGCTGGGGTTGTCGACCCGGAGTTTCGATTATATATATATATATATATATGCATTTATTTTACATGTAGTAAGGTCACCAGTTGGGTCAGTTCGGTGATTTGATGTCATTGCTCCTTGGGCTAATGGCTAATGGGGTCTGAGCAGAAATTCAGTTTTCTGTAACGACCGAGTGCCCGGAGTTTCCGAGGCCGGGGCTGGGGTTGTCGACCCGGAATTTCGATTTAACTCTGGGCCTAGAGTTACCCTTACAGTAGGTTATTGGGGTATTTTAATATATGGTTAGTAACATACGATTTAGGTGGTTGGATCCCCAGGGCGAGTTTAGGTATCACCAAGAGTGGAGCGAGAAACAGAGATAGACAGACAGACAGAGACAGAGACAGAGACAGAGACAGAGACAGAGACAGAGACAGAGACAGAGACAGAGACAGAGACAGAGACAGAGACAGAGACAGACAGAGACAGAGAGACAGAGACAGAGACAGAGAGAGAGAGAGACAGAGAGAGAGAGAGAGAGAGAGAGAGAGAGAGAGAGAGAGGGAGGGGGAGAGAGAGGGAGAGAGAGGGAGAGGGAGAGAGAGAGCACGCAAGCCGATCTCTCTGTCGGCAGGATTTTGCAAAGTTTCGGCTGGAAAGCCTGGAGACTCGAAAGTGTAAGTACTCAGGTGAAATCCCATTGCTCTAAGTCTCTAAGTCTGCCCGTGCTGGGGCCGATCGGGGAATCGAGACATAATGAGGCTCAGCTGTAGGTTGCTTCAAGTTACACGAGCTTGCACATGCAGAAGGGTCGAATAGACCTTAACCCTAAACCCTTAACCCTAAACCGCTTACCTTGAGGTCCACGAAGCCTGACCACCCTAAACCCTAGAGCTTTAAAACCTAAAGCTCTAAACCCCAAACCGTTGAGCCCTAAACCGTAAGCCCGAAACTCCTAAACCCCTAAACCCTTACCTTAAGGTCCACGAAGCCTCAAAACGCTAAACCCTAAACCCCTAGACCCTAGCGCCCTAAAGCCCTAAAGACCTATAAAGCCCTAAGCCCCTAAGCCCCTAGACCCCTAAACCCTCACCTTAAGGTCCATGAAGCCCAAAGTAGGTAGCATTTAAAGTAGGTACTATTTGTATACTTGGAGTCTTAGGGTTACCTTAAGGTCCATGAAGCCTCAGGCTGCCGACCATGCGGAAACGCCCCTGGCTGCCTACCAGGATGTCGCGAGGCTCGGAAATGCTCCGAGTCTTGATAACATACTGCTGATGGACAAAATCCTGCATGACCTTAAGGACCCTAAACTATGGGAATCATGGTATATTCCTTATATTGGGTCATGCAGGATATTGTCCATCCACAGTAGGGGGTTTAATAGGTTGAACAGGGTGAACTGAAAGGGTTCCTATAAGGGTTACTGTAAGGATACTATGATATAGGGGCCTTAAGAATTGGAATTAGGGTTTTGGGGCCCATTATTCTATCTCATAACATGGAACCCCCAAAGCAGTATTTAGGCCCCTATAAAAGTCAACTTGGCAGTCCTTCTTAGGCATTTCGAGCACTTGAAGGGGGTCAGTCTCCGCACGTAGAGTGGCTTGTGCTTTTGGTGACTGGCTTTCGAAATCTGATCCATTCTGATTTCAACATAGTCTTCTCTCTGCCAAACCTCTACACTCTTGAAGGCCCATCACTAACGGTAGCAGGTTTCAGTTTCCCTTCCATCGACATCTGAATAAAGCAGGCCAGACTCCACGAAAGTTGTGATGGTGTCTGTGTGTGTGTGTGTGCGCATGTGTCCGCATGTGCCCCCTGTGCCAGCGAAGGAGTCATTAACTTAAGAACTTTCGAAGACTGGGGGTTCATTCGGTGCGATGATTCTGCTTGGATGAACTCGTCGGCTTCGTATGACGAGTGTGTAGACCGGAGAACTGTCAGAACCAGCCAGCAACTTGAGGTAGGGTTTCAGTGTTCGTAAGACTGACGCCGCAGCATCTCGTGCATATTGCGCAGGTGAAATTACGTACTAGTCTATAGTGGAGTTCTAAACCTCTTGATAGAGGACAACACTCTGAGTCGTTAAGTTTGGGTATCCTGGGACCGGCATGAGGCCAAATTATGCGCGCCTCGGCCTTGGTTTGAAGATGAGATCTAAAGGGTCCTGAGAACTGTTACGAGGGATAATTTCCCAAATCTTGATAGTAATTCCTGATTCAATATAGAAATGCTACTAAACCCTAAACCCTAAACTCTAAACCCTAAACCCTAAACCCTAAACCCTAAACCCTAAACCCCAAACTCTAAACCCTAACCCTACAGTCTACTATCTAGGTACTTTGGGCCTGAAGAGTTTCGGAGTGTTGGGCCCAGAGACTCCAATATCCCTTAGTTAAGCCCTACCTTAACCCTGAAGGACCTACCTTTCTAAGGACTTATATAAGGAAATCATAATAGGGAACCCGAAAAAGGTAGGTTCTTCAGGGTTAAGGTAGTCCTTAATATCAATTAAGGATTATTCCTAAAATCATATATGAGGGGTCCTACTATACTTTGAGGTAAATTATAGTAGGATCCCTAATATGAGTTAAGAAGTATTCGTTAATTAAGGGATGTTGGGGGTCTCTGGAGGGATCTTGCCAGCGCCTTTTTGAAGACGGCACCAGGATCTTGCACCGCGTGGCTGAACACCTGGGCAAGGACTGGGCCTCGCGGTTTAGGGTTTACAGTAGGGCTTTAAGGGTTTATAGGGTTTAGGGGGTTTCGGGTTTTAGGGTTCTAGGGCTTATAATAAGGGTTTAGGGTTTGAGGGTTTCAGGATTAATTTGGATTTAGGGTCCAGGGTTCAGGGTTGGGGGGGTTCTGTAATTTGGGATCCCCAAACCTACTGCTTTAAGGGCTGTGCTCTCTTATTCAGGGGTCATAATTCTACTGTTTGTGGGTTTTTTGGAACAGGTAGGTCAAATCTACCGGACTAGATGCACGAGATGTTGGACGATTTCATTTTCCTGGCCCGGAGCCCTAGCCCTGGACCTTGCAAAACCTGAAACGCAACAAGCCCTCAAAACGGAACCCCCAAACCCTAAACCCCTTCCTCAGCTCCTTTATGAGATTGTCTTCCACTTGGGCCCTAAACCCTAAACCCTAATTAAACCCTAAAAAAAAAACCCTAAACCCGAGGATCCAGAGACTCTGCGGATCTACGACCCGTACTACTGCGCCGGAGCAGTGGTCTCGCAGCTGCGCGGCCTAGGACCACGGTTTAGGGTTTACCTTAACCCTGAAGAACCAAAAGGTCCTTAAAAAGGTAGGTCCTTCAGGGTTAAGGTAGGGTTTAGGGCTCTTCCTCTTGCTCTGTCGGTTCGATTTGGGTGATGGTTCTTGTATTCATTGTATTCCTGCTGTTCGTGATTTTGGGCCACTTACTAGGCTTTGCAGTGGCTGCTCATACCGAGAGACGAACCAGGTAACGGCACATAAGCCTGTTGTTGTGGCTCCCTTTGCGATTCATCAGGCTGCAGATAGTTCTTTCGGTCGGAGATGTTCGAGAGCAGGGCCTATCAACCGAAATTCTCAACCACGGACGACGTACCTCGCATTTACCAGCCAAAATGCCATTTCGTGCTAGTGCTTCTGTTTTGTGGGCTGGCTACCTGTCACCTGCATCAAGTCCGAGAGCCATGCTGCGAAGCCGCGTGTCTCTTGCTGCCCGCCCGCCAGCCGATATCGTCCGGAGACTGACGCAGATGGAGCCTTGGGTCTCAAGCAGCCACACCCAAAGGGTCCAAGTATCATTCTGGTACATATTTACAGGGCATTTTGGGGGGTCTAAGTGTATACCATGAAAATACTTGGACCCTTTTACACACGGAAACCAGTCCTTCACAGGGCTGCGAAGGGCTCTATGTTACTAGGGTCTTGGCTTCTGTTGGCATCGTCGCTGTTTCATGTTGGTTAGAAACCCCATGATCTCCATGCATTCGAGGAAGGCAGCAATCGGACGTCAATGGTCAGAGAGCTGGACAAGACGCTCCCACAGTGGCGGCGCACTCCGAAAGTCGCCACTTCGTCTCCCCACAGATGCTGTGCGACTTCTGTGAATCCGATTGAAGTTGAGCCGATAGAAGCTCAAGGATGTATCCGATTGAGTCCTAGGGATGTTCCGCAGGCCTCCAAAGGCAATGCAGAGCTAGAAGGCCATTTGGAGGGCCGCTCATGCTACAGGTAGCCGAAGCTTGCTTTAAGCAGCTTGAGCGTCCACTCGGTTGTTTTAGCATTTCCCCACTTCCAGATCCGGGCCAAGAATGCTTCACAAAGTTTGGGCCAGTCTAGAGCTGACATGGGTCCGCCCTACACTTACCTTTGGTTAGTAGGGAATGGAGGAATGGGGTACAGTTATAACTACTATTACTACCATTCTTCCATTCCCTACTAACCAAAGGTAAGTACAGAAGCCACGGATCTGGGACCCGCAGACATGAGTTCTTGTCTTGCAGGATGCTGTCAAAGCATCGGACTGTCGGCAACTGTCGGTACACGTTCTCCTGCCAAGGCAGAGGCTTAGTACAGTCGCGCAAGTAGACTATAGTTTCCTTAGGAATTATTGTCTTTTTTTGTTCATATAAAACTTAAGAGAATCTTGAACAAATTATTTTTATTATGGTTCTAAGGGGGTATAGCAGAAGGCATCGTCAGGTCTTGACAGTGTTGCATGATGAAGCTCAGATGTGTGTCTGCGCTACAGCACCGACTGGCAGAAGCAGCGCCACGCATACAAGGCATACGACCACCGACTCAACCAATCGTGATGAATGCTGACCCCCAACCTCCAACTCTAACTGTGTCCAAAACCTAAAACCCCCAAACCCTGATTGCTCCTGTGCCGCGCTTCAGGCCATGCACGTCTTAAAGGAGTTGAAGAAAGCCAGACAGATGGTGCTCTCGGCATGGATGTGACTAGTTGATTTGCGGCCTTGATAATGAGAATAGGGTTTTGGGGCCCGAAATACTACAGCCATGACAAGGACCCCCCCCCCCCCCCCCCCCGCCCCGAATTGTATAGAGCAATTATTTGGGCCCCTGCGGTAGTTGACGAGTATGATCAGTCGGCTTCGAGTTTGCAGGGATTCGGGCTTCTAGGCTTAGAGTCTGCTTCGGTGGGCTTTAGGGTTTAGGGGGTTTAGGGTTTAGGCGGTTTAGGGTTTAGGGGGGAACAGAGATTCTTGCGCTTCCTCTGCTCTTGGGAAAGCTTGGTGCCTGAGGCGATATTTCCAAGCTTGGAAGGCAATGTAGTACTGATGATCCTAATCTGGGATGCCCAGTAGTACCCTTGTTCCCTTTTTGTAGTCCTAGGTTCCTTATAAAGTTAATTACACCAAACAGTTTTATTTCTAGGTTACTGGGCATCCTAGAAATTCAGTGACCTTAACGCTTGACCCGACGGCAGGGCCTTCTTGAACAGTTCCTGGATGCGCTGCGATCAGAAGGGACTTTGGATACCGGCCGCTTGGAAGTCTCTAATGTAGGGGCCTAGAAATATTACCAATACTACTGCGGGGGTTTTCCATATTATGATTACAGTAAACTCCCAAGCCCCAATTCTAATGATTAAGGCCCCGATACCATAGACCCATTTTTTTACTTTTTATAAGATCCCTGTAAAGGAACGCTATTCTGAGTACTAAGGCCCCTATATAAGGATGGTCGACGCCTTAAGATGCCGCTTTTGGGGCTTCGATTGCAAGGGTTTTGGGGGTTCCGGGTTTAGGGTTAGTTGTTTTGAAAGTTGTGCTTGTTGTTGACATACGTGGCCCCGCCAGAGCGATGCAACAAGAGGCGACGGCTGATCAGATCCGAGCCAATATGTATGTATACACATATAACGCATATGTATATATATATATATATATCTATACATATATATATATATATATATATACATACAGATACACATATCTGTGTGCACGTGCACATATGTATGCTGTAGACTGTATATGCATAAAGACACATGCACATCCAAACACACACACACACACACACAATACATATATATATATATATATATATATATATATATATACGACAGTGAGGTTTCAGGAACTTGAGGTCACGAGCACCTGCTGTTCAGTTACTGCAGCGGCCGCTTTACAAGAGCAGCGATCATAATCCGGATTTCTCAGGCTTCCTCTACTTTAGGCCAGCAGCACATTTTCAAGTTTCAAGTGGGTCAAACCCTACAGCATGAAGCTTCAAGGTTCCAGAGGCCCCATCACTCATACTAGTCTTACAAAGAAGTACTGCACTATACCACATTATATCAGACTGTACTATAATGCAAAGGCAGTTCACCCGCTTTCATCCATCCAGCTTAGGCCATGTCACGGTGGGCATCGGCGCGTTTGCTTCCGCGCGACGTTGGAAGGAAGCTGTCGATCTGCTTCTTGCCTTCTTTCCTCATTGCCCCTAGATTACCACCTGCACTTGCAAATGCGTGCAGCAAAAAACAGAATGCCTGCAGCCAAAAAACAGCAAATACTAAAGCCCCAACCCTGAGCCTCTCGTAGTTAACCCTATAAATAGTAGGTTACAGGGGCATATAACATATGGTTTGTAACCTACTCTTGAGCTGACTGGAGCTCTAGGGCTCTAGGGTAAGATGGCATGAAGTGCTTGTAAGCGATTCGCATCGGTGCCAAGGCATTGGTTTGTTTGTTGTTTGTTGTTTTTGTGCGTGCGTGTGTGTGTGTGTGCGCGTGGGGGTCAGTGGCCCAAATTTCCTTATCTTGCCTTTCGCTTAAAGCCCAAGCCCGAGAACATGAATCGTGCTTTGTTTTTTATAATGTATAAAAAGGTTGTAGGTATGTGTGGAGGGGTGGGCGTGCTGGCTCAGAGCATTTGTTTTCGGGCAAGCACATAAACAAACGTAAACCCTAAACCCTAAACCCTAAATGTGTTTTGGCAGGCCCTCCTGGATGCAGCCTCGAGCCGCCAATTCCCCAATGCCACTCTAACCACAAGCCCGGGTGTTTAGGCTTCTACGGTTTTGCTAAGACCTGAAGGGCCAGAAAGAACCACTGAATGCCAGGTCGAGCTTCACCAGTGCCAGGAGCCCCAAAAGAGCAAGTCTTGAACCCGAAGACCTATCCCTCTATGCTGAGGCCTTAGTCAGACACCTCCCCAAGCCTCCCACTAACCTCAGCACTTTCTGGCGCTTGAAAGCTACTATAGGGGCCTAAATTACCTATACTATTTTGGGTGTTTCCTTATTCTAAGTACAGTATAATGGGCACCACAAACCCTATTCCAATTATTGAGGCCCCTACATTAGAACCCCACAACCCAGCCCGACCCCTTTAAAGGAACCCCATCCCAATTAAAAGGTTCCTGGAAAGGGGAAGCGCTGGCGCGGCATAAAGCCCTAAACCCCAAATAGAAGTTTCCGAAATTAAGGGGTACCTTAGGGTTCTTTTGAAGGGTTACTATAAGCGTTCTTTACAAGGCTCTATTAGGGTTTAGAGTTTCCGAATAATAGAGGTACCTTGTCTTGGGGTCCTTATAATCAGGATCCTACTACTTAGGGTACTATATCAGGGTCCCCTATTTTCGGAAACCCCCATGAGCTGCTACATTAAGGTTCCTATCTCTGGGAGACCGGCAACTCCAGCCGGATCTTGTGAGCTACACTGTGCTTCCAACTGATTTAGGGGGTTGAGGGTTCAGTATTGGGAGCAAGTTTGGGGTCTTGCGGGTTGAGAAGCACGACGGACATGAGCATGCTGTGTTTTTCCTTCTTTGGGTGCATATTTCTACACTCTGACTAGGGTGCCGTTGGAGGGATTGCAGGTCATCAAGCGCCGAATCTGACCCATGCCATTGGTCTACGATTGCCGGCACTTGCTTTCGTACGACAGGGGGCTTGCAAATTGCTGGCGTCTGCGCCTAGGCCACCATCAGTGCCTGTGAGAAAGTCGGTCTTTGGCCGGTTCCTTGGACACACCAAGGGATGTCGGAGGAAGTCCACGGCTTCATGCTTCGAATGGATCGAGAGTATCTGCAATTGTCCCTTTTGTTTTCGCATCCGGCCTCCCTGATCAGTTAACACCACAAGTCACCACAAGCAAAGCTTTGATTCAGTCTGCTTCGGGGTGTTGACGTCTGCAAGTGATCACCGCAGCAATGAACCCAACGGCTGTGAGAGCTCTACTGCCTAACCCCAGTGACCCGGTACTGGCATGGCATTCTGGTTCGGCCGCA